CAAGCTCTACAAGCAAGATGTTGCCTACCTATGAGGCGCTATGAGACAGCTGAACTTGGCGATTCCCCCCCCACGCGGCCGATGTACTCACAGAGAAAATTTGCGCACTGATTGCCTCGCATACCTTACCGTACCAATACCTTAATTACGTTAATTAAATATAAACAATACATAAGTAACTTTAAGGTGTCAGCCAGCTTTAACTCTCGATGAGCAGGAAAGGGAACCGGCCGGTCGGTCCTTAGCTTCGTCCAGATACGTGGGTGTCTTGGGTGCCTGAGTCTGCTAGTGTGAGAAAAATTGGGATTTGGACCAATCACAACAGCCACGATCCCAGAAGTCGCCTATGACTGCGGTGTGATGGGCACTCCCCCATATTTTAAAATCTTTTTTCGGGGTTGGGGAGAGCGTGAGCATTTACAGTGCCGACCGGACATTTGTCTTTTGTCTGTAGATCAGATACTACTGCTAGTGGGCTGGTGATAGGAGGAGGTAACGGAAACACAGTTTACAACTTAAATAGTACTTTATTTATATGCAGTTTATGTACAGAATGAAAGTAACTTACTTATTTTTCAACACAGTTGGTACAAAACAAAGTGGCAAATCGATTTGTTTTCATAGTATACCCCCTCCAGGGGATATCTATGAAGTGATACACAAATTTGTTGCGTACCAAGGTGATGAGCTCCGTAGCCTTTGTACAGTAAATTTGCTCTGAAATGTATTACCATTTCTCCAAGTATGTGCTACAAATAACTACAAGAAGTTGTTAGCCTAAAGGCGGGTACATTTACAAAATCTAATATCACTTTTATAGTTCCTCGGTTTCATTATTATACATAGAGATTATTAGTTTTAAATATGACAACTGTTTTAAAAACAAAAATGGTGCTGGACCAACCTTTGATGAATTTGATGCTGGTGCAGGGTATTTATATTTTTCTAACTGGTTTACACTACAACCATCATTTTTCTTCTTTTTAAAAAAGCAACAAACAGACAAACAAACAAAAAACTACGTAATTCAAAATAAATGTCTTAAAATAAAGCATAAAACACTCTAGAAAATAATCACAATCAAGCTGAAATATGGTATCATTTCACAGGTTGACAAAATATTTTTTTTAACCGATGTAATGCAATATGCCTTTTATAGCACAAATAAGTCTAATGCACACAAACAATCTTATTCATTCATTCACAATTCACTTTAAGGTGTAGTCTTACGCTCCAAAAAGCAATTTAAAACATATTTTGACATTGGGTGGTCGTAGCAATGAAAATGCTGAGGGATAACAAACAATAATTCATCCAAACCTTTTAAAACTTTTTAGATTTACATCAGTCATATTATTTTCTTACGAATTGTTTCAGGTAGCTCCAACAAGTTTTTATTACTGCTCACATGTCCTTAGCTCGTCTTGGGAAAAACTAAAGCAAAACCCCAGTGTTTCACAGCCTTGGAAAAATAGTGAGCTACCCATACATCATCTTCTATCTATTTGTTACCTTACTAGTGTTCTTTCTTGTTCTTCTGGGCTTTCAGGAGGATCTTCTTGAGCTGGTGTTTGGACCGTGACACGTCACGTGTTCTTCTCCTCAGGGTCTGTGATGTAGGATACTTCACTTCGGCATCCAGAGAGCTGCAGAAATGAAACGAAAAACAAAAACGGGTGTCAGTATAAACCGTGCTCGAAATGCAAAATCAACGCCAAAATAATGGATCTTACTGTGCCCTCGCTGTCCTCTGACTCCGTTCGCTGCGCTGGCTCCGCTGCTCCCTCATGGTGTGCAAGTGCTCGGCCGCCGCCTCCATGCGCTTGGTCATGCCGCCGATGTACCTCGTCACGGCCTCGGACGTGCCGCGGAGGAGGTTCATGCCGACGCGCAGCTTGAACTCGGCCACCCGCCGGAAGATGTTGATGAGCGTGCTCAGAGCATCGTCAGCCGGCGACGTGTTGTTGTTGTTGCTGGTGCCGTCAAAGACCGGAGCGGTGGTCGTCGTGGTGGTGCTGCTCGTGTCACGCAGATCACTGTTGCCGGGGTTCACGTCGTTGCTGGCATCGTTTCTGACGTCGCTCGCAGGGGCGCTGAGAATGTCGTTCGTGGTGACGACGACCAGGGGCTCGGTGTCCTCATTGATGAGGGTCGTGATAGCAGCATCGGTCACAACTTCCCTCTTGTCCTCCGGTTCCGCGTCGGTGGTGGTGATGGCTTCGACCGTCGTGGTGGCCAGCGACTCCTCGGGCATGGCGGTCGAGCTGATGACCAGACTCTGGCTCATCTTGTCCTGGCTGTCGACGACCTGGTGGGAAGTCTTGGCCGGTGCGGGGCCGTCAATCTCGTTGTTCAGGTCGTCGTCCACGTCGTTGCCGGTGGCACTCCTCCTGCGCCGCCTGTGCGCCGCCTTGCCGTCGGCTTTCGGGTCCTGCTTGTCGTGCACAAGGGCGCGAGGCTGAGCCCCGTTGGCCGTGGCGTACCGGCTGTCCATGTCCAGGCCCGCGCCGTACGTCAGGTCCACGCCGGAGGAGTCCGCCTTGTCCTGGTCGGCGCCGGGCTGCGATCCGTAGGCGAGCGCCACCTGGCCCGCGCCGCCGCTCACGCGCACGGAGTATCTGCAGACAAGAAACGAGAGCGCGGTCAGCAGAGCGGACCTGGCGCTCAGCGCCTGCCAGCGGCGGGGTAGGCCGACCCGCGACACACGCAAGCGCGCGCCGCTGCCTACCTGTTGCCGGGCTTGGGGTCGGTGGGGTCCTGGTCGCTGCCGCTGCTGCCGTACGTGATGTCCACGTGCGAGGCCGCGTCGCTGTCCGAGTGGTAGCGGGTGCCCTGGTTGGTCTGGGCGCTCTGCTGCGCCTCCGACGAGCCCACCACGTACGGGGACTCCTCCGCCTTCTGGAGAGAGAGAGAGAGAGAGCGAGAGAGATGAAGTAAAGAAACGCATTCGGCCAAACCCCAATGCCAAGACGCCAGTAGGGAGCAGAGAGTACGGAGCGCCTCTTCCCGGCACTGTTATTACCTTCTTGTTGGGGTTGGGCGCGCTCTCCCCGACCGACGCGTAGGTGAGGTCGACCTGGTCGGCGGAGATGGGCGTGTCGACGTCGTAGCGGGTCCGCTGCAGCGCGTCCAGAGTGCCCAAGGGCTCGAACTTGGTCTCGACCTGCGGCGCCTGGGGCGGCGACGGGTCCGCGTAGCCGGTCACCTGGCCCTGACCGTTGACGGACACGGAACTGTACCCGGTGCCCTGTCGTAGGTCAGACGCGCCATTCGCCTCCGCCGCCGGCCTGTACGAGCTTCCCTTGCCGCTCGAGTCGTACCTACACCCATAGAATTTCCGTTTTATTTTCAGAGTGAACGCAAGCGAAAAAGAGTGGCATTAAGAAGGCGTGTCAAGTCAACGCACCTGCTGTAAGAGTCCGGGTACTGCGCGTCGGGAGGTCCGGAGTCATTGCCGCCGTAGATAGATGGAGAGGCAGCGTACCTCGTGTCCTGTGTGCCCTGCTGCTGCTGCTGCTGCTGCTGCTGCTGCTGCTGGCCCTGCCTATCCTGCTGTCCGTTCCTGTCCTGCTGCATGCCGGAGAACACCTGGCCCAGCACCTCCTCCTCGGGCTTGCCGACCGTGCCGTCCTGCAATCCCTGCTGGTCCGCGTAGCTCTCGTAGTAGTACATGTGCTCGCCACCGGGGCCGGGGTAGCGCTGCTGCGGCGCCGTGTCGTAGGTCCTGCGGGCCGCGATGCCGCCGCCGAAGGGGTAGAGGAAGAGCCCCGCGAGGCCCGCCGTCACCACGAGGCCGATGATGCCCACGCTGACGGACGGCATCACCTCGCGCGCCAGGTAGTTGTAGATCTTGGTGGAGATGCCGTTCTGGCCTGGGCCGCCGGGGACGCCAGCCACTGCCGTCCCGGGCACCATCTTGGTGGCGTTGCCCTCGTGCCCGATCTTACTCTCGGCGGTGACCGCGGCGGACGACGTCTTCTTGGTGGGTCGGCGCCTCCTCGTCTTGTTGTTCTTCTTCTTTTTCTTTTTCTTGGACGCGGCGCTGCTGCCGGCGCGCTTGGGCTTCTTCGTCGTGATGGTGGGCATAGTCGTGGTCATCAGATCGGCGTCCGTAGTCACGGGCAGGTCGGCGAAGGTGGGCGGCAGTGTGGTCAGCTCTTCGACGGGTGCAGGCGTGGTAGTGGTGGTCGTGGTCGTGGTCGTCGTAGCGGGGGTCTTGAGAGCAGCGGGTTTCGGCAGCGCCTGGCTCTGGATCGGCTTCCTGCGGAACGCGATGGCGGTGTTGAAGGGCACGCTGGCGGACGACACCTTGGTCTTGTCCGGCTGGGCCTGGATGGGCCTCTTGTTGGCTTGCTTCGAGTCGGTGTGGACGGCGGGCACGGGGCGCGCTGGCTTCTTGTTCTCCGCCGGCTTGTCCTTCTGGGCGCTGACTCCAACGCCAGAGGTGCTGACGATGGCCTCGGAGATCTTGACGTACTCCTGCTGCGCCGCCGGGGGAGGCACGGGCTTGGGGGTCATGCTGGGAGCAGGGGTCGTGGAGGTGGTCGTGGTCGTCGTGGGGGCGGCCGTGGTGGTGGTGGGCTTCCTAGCCGGCACGCGCTGCTGCGCGACGGGCTTGCGGACGGCAGGCGGCTGACGGGCGGGCTGAGGGTGCGCGGGCTGGGGGTGCGCTGGCTTGGCGTTCGCTGGGACAGTCACGGTGCCAGGCACCTTCGCGGCGGCGTGGGCGGGATGGGCGGGGTGCGCGACGGGCGCGGGGGCGGCGTGCTCCTCCTGCTTCACTGGGGAGGATGGCCGCTTCTTGAGGCTGGACGGCGTCGTGGCCGAGCTGTGCGTCCCACTCAGGAGGATCCAGGTCGAGATGCGGTCAGACGCCGTAGTGCTGGGCTGTGGCTCGGCCGTCGTCATCGGGGAGGCGCTCGCGTTGTTGGCCTTCTTGAGGTCGGCCTGCACCTGGTGCTGCACCTGGTGCTGCACGACGCCGTGGCGCATGGGGGCGGACACGGCGGGCTGCGCGGTCCTCAGCGGCATGTGCTGGGGCAGCGCCTGCGGCATGTGCTCGTCCGGGAGCACGACGGGCTCGGCCACGCCCTGGAAGCCGCTGTGCTCGTCCACCTCGTGGTCGCTCTCCGTCGACACGGTGGCGGACACCATCACCGGTTTGGGAATCTCGGGCTTTCGTAAGTCCTGCATCTGCAACGAAATATAATCAATATAATTGTAAGGGGGTGTATAACTAAACTAATGCAATTGTGTAAAGACCCTCATTTTCTGTCGATCGAGAACAAGAGACAAGATTAAACTCGATTCGCGTACGTGATCGTCCTTGCTTCGATAGGAACTTGCCTTGACGATGGGTGGCGTGCGAATGTCTTGAACATCCTGGACGTGCGGCTTGGCGGCCTCCTCGGCCGTCGCGGAGATCAGCTGGCTAGCCACCTCCTTCAAGGACTCGCCGATGGGAGACGCACCGGTGGGCGCGGTCGGCGCAGAGGGCGAAGACGGCGAGGATGGCGATGAAGGACCGGAAGGTGAGGACAGGGCGGACGGCGCGGTCACGGGCTCGCCGATCAGAGCCGCGGCCGAGGGCAACGGCTCCGGAAGAGCCTCGGCGGTGACCTGCTGCGCCTGTTCGGGCTGCTGCTGGTCCCTGGACAAGGCAAAGATGTACGTGAGTGAGGTGGGCGGGGGACGTGGCGCTCGATGTGCATATGGAAAAGGTTGCTGTGCTATAGTCGAAGAGAGGCAGTGATAGGATGGAGCGTCGTGCACAGCGTGACCGAAACCTGAGGGTTCACGAGGAAGAACTCGTTGGAAAGCGTTTAGTGTTTCACAACACGGCAGTGCAAGTCACCAAGAACAACACCCTCTTTGTACTCACCAAGATGATCTTCTTTTTCTTTTTTGTAAAGGAGTTACAGTCAGGGTTCAAGTAACTTATTCAACTCTCCAGATAGGGATAGGATTTATTTTACGTCATATATAAATATCAAACTAATTCTAGTCCCACAATTTCACTGAACTAACTCTTTTTCGAGCCGAAAGGAGACAAAACAGGAGAGAAAACTACATATATGAAAATAAA